ATATATATATATATATATATTCTTATGCTTTATATTTTTGGGTGTTATTCACAGATAAATTAGGATTTAACAAATAAGATGAATATTATAGCATCTCATCTAAGTATAAAATTTTATTTATGGAGTGGTGAAAAATGAATGTATATTCTTAGATATAATGTGTTGTGTTGGTGATTCGGCCCATGCACGGTTCACACAAGTTCATGTGTCATTCAAGTAATATAATGATTAAGTCAAATTCATTCTCATGAAAATTTTCATCCAATTCTTAAACTAAGTTGATTACTAGTCCTATAAAACAAGTTTTATCCAATTAGCTATAAATATTTTTAGAGTTTTACTTGAGAAAAAAAATACACTTCTTTCAGTGTTTTTTTTTTTTTTTTAATTAAACAATTTCCTTTGACCTAGTGAACTCCTTAGATGATTGTACCCAAAATTAGATTTTTCTATGAGTTTTGTCAATCAAGGACAATTCTACTATTTATTGAGATCTCATATAATAATTTAGGCATCTAAATCATGCAAAGACATCGAATATTCACTATTAATTCTTCAAGATGAATGTAATTTTCTCACAACTATATACCAATATTATCGAAAAAATTGAATGCTAACTCTAATGTCATTTTTTTTTGTTGAAAGTGCTCGGTCACAATAAATATTAACATATATGTGGCTAATAAATAAGAAAATGAAGCTTGTGGGTTAGCAAAATAATAAATACACATTTTTCATTCAACGCCTTAAATTTAGAGTAAAAAAATGTCGCTAATCTAAAAATTTGGATATAGTTATCATAGATTGATACAAAAATCAAACATAAAACATCAAACTTAAAACTAAATTTTGTAGTAAATGAAAAAAAACACCCAGATAAAGTCTCAATGATCTAAAATTCGTTAAATCTTCTTCACTCACTCTTTGAACGAAGCCATTTCACTCACACTCACACTCACACTCACACTCACTCAAAACTCTCACTCACTCCAAGACACTCTTCCCTAACTTACCTCCCTTCTCTAATAGTTCTTTACATTTTCTAAGCTTTGTCAACCAAATAATTTCCAATCCTCCTCCAAAATTCATGATTTTGAAATATATTTCTTGTTGAATTGTTAAGCTTCTATACTTTGGGTAAAGTGTTGCGGCGCCAAACTCTTTTAGGTGTTTTTATCATTCAATAATTAGGTATCATGAATTGAGGTCAAATATCAACTTTAATGTGGAGCTCAGAATGTGAGTTACATATATTGTTATCGTGTGTGTATCTATTGAGATTTACTATAATTATTTATTGATAATACATATATTTGTGGTTCAAATCATTGATGATGAAGAGATTGATTCTTGATGTGGAGCATACTCAACTTGTTATGTCTTTTTCGCTTATGCAACATTTAGGACTTGCATTTCCTTTTAGTTGTGTCGTAATTCTATATTAAGTAGAGAAAGTTTAGCTTTCCACCTTAAAATGATAAAGAAAAGGATGAATAATAAAATGATATGTTGGGCCTAATTGTGATAGAGTAGGTAAAAAAGATGAAATTAAAAGAGTTGGAAATGATGATCATTATACTCAAAGGTCTAAGGGATTTCGAACAAGAGGGGAAAAAACTACATAATCATTATAAATTTATCATTCGAAAGAGTTACCATATGCAAGAGGCATTGACTATCCTGTGCGATTCTACATGAGTCAAAATGATCAGTCACAAAGACTAGGATAAAATTTGTGATAAATCCTTTTTCACTAAAACGGGTGGAGGTTTAGTAAAATTAAGGGCCTAAACATAATGTATATGAATAGTATAAGGAGTTTGAAAAGAAAGAAATATAAAATTCTTCAGAATATATCTCCTAAAATTAAATTGCTTATCACAAAAAGTCAAAGAAGCTTTCTACACTATTTTTATCAAAATTGAACAGGGTTAATAGATGAACTTAGCTAATGAAGCTCTATGAGCAGATAGAAGCTCCAAAGATTAAATTTTCCAATCAAATCATGCACTCAAGTTCATCGAAGCTAAGGGTTTGTCCTTCTTATGGAAAGTCTAAATTAATTACTGAGAGGAGACATGCAAAAGATTCAAATGATGAAACCCTTTAAAAATAAGATGCAAAGAAAGTAGGTATAATGAAAAAAATTTGCTTACATTGAAAACTTTGAGAATCAACTTGTGATTTACTCAAAATGCTCATAATTTATTAAGGTAAGAGAATTCTCTCTTCCCAAGTTCCCAAATTAAATGATGGATGATTATTTGAAGTATGGCATGGGATGTTAAATTTTAGTTTGGAACTTGGAACCATCTTGATATTATGATTTCGAAGGTCTTGATTATTCTGAATGTAACCTTAAACATGAACAAAATTTGAATACTTAATGCTCCCGGGATTGTGAAGATGAGTTGATCCTTTTAATTCTAAATCAATGATATTCAAATTTTGTTGATTTTAAAAATAAATTTTAAATGCTATAAACTCTTTTTATTGTTTTAAATTTCAAATTTTAAATTAGAATTTGTATCATATTGGATGTAAAATTTGTGCTCCAAATATGACTTGGTTACTATCCCATACTTTGATTGTTATCACTATTAATGTTCTTGTTTTCTGCCCGAACAGATACTTACTCCCAACCTTGTTTATAATATTTTTTACTGATAAATTTAGTAGATTAAATTTGTCAGTGATTGAGTGTCTCGGAAAAAGAGGAGAGAGAGAGAGAGACAGAGAGACAGAGAAATGACTTGATATGACAAAAGTCAAAAGTATATTAATGATTTACGTTGTTAGAGCTACTTGGGAGTGTCAAAAATTGATCCAAACATGTCAACTTGAATCGAACTCAAGTTAAAAATTTTTAGCTTTGAGTTGACTTAATTAACTTTGGGATTGGATATGAGTCAATAATCCCAACATATTAGTTTTTATTGGATTTGATTAGAATTGACACGCCAACTTAAATATACCATAAATTGATCTGCTAACCCAAAATTTACTTGAATTCGACCCAAGCTTAACTTGAATAACCATTATGTTTGTGTTAAACACGTTACGCGAGTCAGACTCAAGTTAATTGGGTGGAAGTTGGGTTAGATTTGCTTTAAACTTTATATCCTATTGAAGAATCGAATTAAGTTTGAATCAAATAATTTTTACTTTAGGCCAGACCAGGTCGCATTATGATTCACTTATCGTGTCAATTTTGGGTCAGGGCCAAACTTAACCTGCAATTAACTGAAAAGGAAAGCATTATTTTCATATCATTTATCTCCTTACTAAAATCAGATCCCGCCACCCTCTCTTTTAATGAAATTAATCAAATTATTCACTCTTATATATATAACAACATATATATATGCATAACTGATGAAAGACAGCACTGAGATGAAACCACATCTCCCTCTCTGCTTTTCTTCTTCTTCTTCCTCCCTGCTTTCCACAAACAATGGATTCCCATCACTAACATAAAACACCATACCAGAAACCAGAAACCAGAAACCAATCTTCTCCCCCTCAAGAACAACAATACAAGAGAGATTAAGAATGGGTTATTGCAGCTCTTCTTGGATCCAAATCCTTATTCTCATCCCCCTCCTCATCCTCCTCCCCACCGTCCTCCTCCTCTCCCTCTCCCCGAGCTCTCCATCGCCGCTAACCTCAACCTCTGCAACTCTCCGCCTCTCCCCACGCCGCCGCCCGCCGGGAACCGCCGCCCTCTCCGCCTCCGCCGCCGCCCCTGTAAAAATACAATTCAAACCAATCTCAATAACCTTTAATCCTTCCATAAATACACCCATTAATGAATATCTCCATGCAGGCGAAACGGCTGGCGAATCCCGCTCCAGAGAACAAGCTCGAGGCTGAACTTTCCCGCGCGAGAGCGTCCATCAGAAGAGCTGCCGCCGGCGCCGCAGGCGGACTTGGCCGGACGAATTTCTCCGGCTTGCTTAGCCGGCCGAGCGTGTACCGCAACGCCGCCGCGTTCTACCAGTGCGTAAAAGAATCACTTGATTGCTTCTTTATCTCTTTCTTTATTTTCCTTTTTGGTTCTTGAGTTTTTACGCTTGTTCGATACGGTGAGGTGCGGCGGCATGATTTCCAGCCCTCGTGCTTGGCCCGGCGCACTTGAGAGCGTTTTCGTATGCTGACCCGCGGAGTACCGGACCGGTTCCCGGGCATATATTTATACAAAAGTAATTATTTTTAAAATATATTCATTTAAAAAATAAAAATAATATTTATTTAATATTACATAAATAGTAAACAAGGTCATTAATTTATTTTAGAGGAATTTTTAATAATTGGTTTTCCAATTAATTCGCCATCCGGAATCCTGACATTAATTTAATTTCCTTATTTACGGCGTTGGTATAAAGGTCAATGAATATCGTCATTAATTTCATATATTTTTTTTCTTACTTAGCATTCAGCCGCTTTATGTTGTTTAGACATTAGTCAATAATTTATTTAAACAAAAATCTATTTTCTTTATTATCTTAGAAAATAAAGAGATTAGGTGTTGAATCTTGATTTGTACGTGAATTATACCCGAGGAATTGATAAGGAACAGTAATTTGTCGTGTTTTATTCATAAAAATGATTCATCTATTTTTCAAGAAGAGGACACAATAATGTTATTACATTTTAACACTTCTTTAAAGGGATTCGTACTGAGATATTTCTAGTACTTTAAAAGTATGAGTTTATTGCGAGATTACTATTTGGCTCGATTGGATGAGTTCAATTGGCTTTGGGTCGACGGGATCAGTTCGGTCCGTTGAGCCTGATTGGAATGGGTTGGCCAGTTGATATGACTTGAATGTCAGTCCTTGGTCCGTGAGGTGCCTTTGGAGTGTCTATAGGATAGTTGGAGATGTTGTAGGACTAGATTTTCTCTTGGATCAACTCTATTGGGGATTTAGTTATCACGTCAGGTCGGTTTATCTTTTTGTCCGCCTTGTGGCTTGATCGGTTTTAGCCTTGTTGCTTTGACTCAGACAATCTCGTTCGGTCAATCAATTGAGTCTCACAATCTTTTGACAATGGGTCAACCTTCATTCTACTCTTCCCTTTTGGATCGTTGGGTCTCTTTAAGATCAGTGCTAGCATATTTTTTTATGTTCATTAGGTATGTATCGAACTTCTAAACATCCTACAATTACTATAGAAAAAAATAAACTACACTACATTTATCCCACATATTATAATTCCATAATACAAAAAAATAGTATTAATGTGTGTCAAAAGATTCACACTGAGAGAGTGATTATTTAGTTTTTTTAGCATTGCAAGAAAATCGAACACACGTTTTTGGAAAAAAAAAAAAAAAAATCAAACACTGAAGAATTTATGCAACTTCCTAAATGACCACCAGACTCAAGACTCGTAACAATGAAACATCATGCTCCAAAACCCACAATTCCAATGGACAGTCATCTAGCCTCAGTCGCTTCTCATCCTGGAAGACGCAATCTTGTTCGTGAAGGTGCCTCGGGTCACTCTCTAAAGGATCCAGTACGAATTATGGAAGAGTTTCAACAAAAAAAAAAAAAAAATTCAGCTCTTACATGACACCTGACAACCGACACGACTACACGGTCAAATAAAGCTACCTCTAACACCACAAATTCTCCTACAACATCAAATATCTTTATATTTTATAATATCAATACATCAAAATTTACTATCTCTAATAAAATTACATGTTAAATTTTAATCGATAATTAAAAATCTTGCTTATTTATGAGTTTAGAATATGAATTTTTTCTTAATATGCAGCTGTTCTTTCCTACAAGTTTCTATTACTGTATTACTAATTATGGCATCAAAATTTAAAGTTAGAGATATTTACATACAGACCCCCCCGAAATTTAAACTATAATGATTTTTCTATTTTTAGTAATATTTTAAAAAATTCCTAATTAATAACATGTAACTAAAAAAAAATTGAATAAATATTATTATATGGTTATATTAAGAATACTATATATATAATTGACATACAGGAGCTACTCGGAGATGGAGAGGAGGTTCAGAGTGTACGTGTACTCGGAAGGGGAGGCGCCGCTGGTGCACACCGGGCCTTGCAAGAACATCTACACCACCGAGGGCCGGTTCATATCCGAGCTAGAATTAATGCGCCCGGGAGAATATTCCGGTGCCGGCGAAGCGAATATTCTGAGAACGGAGGATCCACGGCGAGCTCACGCCTTCTTCCTTCCCTTCAGCGTGACTCAGCTGGTCCGGTACGTCTACCGCCCCAACACCTTCGACCAGACGCCCATACGCCGCTTCGTCTCCGACTATGTCGACGTGGTGGCGTCAAAGCACCCTTACTGGAACCGCACCGCCGCCGCCGACCACTTCATGCTCTCGTGCCACGATTGGGTATGCACATTCTGTCTTATCTATATACAATTAAAAGCTCTGTCATAAAAACTCCTCGGTCCAATGGTGGGGCGTCACGTGTCAAGTTAACCTCATCGCAATACATTGGCATTGGTCAGAGTTAAAAACAGTGGAGCTCACTTGACACGTGGCGTCCCACAATTGGACTCTGAATACATCTGAAGTCCTGATGTAATATTTTTTCATCTTTCTGCGACACGCCAATTAACTTGTGTCGACAATTTCTGTTTGAGTCAGCTGCAGCTTATTGAATAATCTGCTAATAAGCTATATGCGGTGACTATTACAAATTTTTATTTTTTTGAAAAAGTCGGACCGCTGCCAGAAAGCTACCACAGCAGCTAGATAGGTGCGATGTGAAAAAGCTGTTTTCAGCAGTTTGAAACGCATAAGCTGTCAAAACGTAGTTTACCCAAACAGATCAGGTGCGTTTTCAAAACGCCATTACACCAAATAAATTGCCCCAAACAGGCCCTTAGCTGAAGTGTTGAAGTTTCTGTATTTTGAGGCGTATGTGCGTGCGATTAGCATATATTCTCGATAATTTATGTTGCATGACTTTTCAATTAATGGATGCATGGATTGTTCATACACGACTTGAAAAGATGAGAATAAATTAATGGTTATTTAATAAAATGATATCATTAGGAGATATGTGAGAAATTTATCATAATAGAGTATGTGAGTTATTGTCTTAGTTTTTTTTGCACGAAAATCTGACATGCACATAGATGAATTAAATGGGGGAAGAGTCGTCTAAGATCTTTTGAGTTGGAAAGATGAGGGCCTAGCCCGATCGAAATAATTTTATTATAGAGTTGAAAGTTTGAATAATTTCATGATTGAATAAGGAATTATAATATTACCACAATGTGGGATAGTGATTTGACATTTTTTAGAAATAGCGAATAGCGATCGAAAGGTAGCGATGGTATGGAGATGAGAGTACAGACAGTCGAGCAACAGTGGCATCTGATTGTGGATGCAATAAAGTGCTTGCAATTTAGTGACAACAATGATAACTTAATTTTTCGATGATATGTCAATCGAACGATGATGGTGCAATGATATGAAATGTTTGTTTAAATACAATTTACTAGAATCCTAATTAGGAAAGAAATAACACACATATCTCCAAGATTGCAAGGATTAAATCAAATAAATTAAAAACATAAACACATAAAATTAGACGAAAAAAATAAATACATAAAGAGGAAATAAACAAAATCCTAATATAACTTCTAACGTCGCCACCCCCCCCCCCCCCCCCCCCCAAGTTGAAGCCTAGATGTCAATCATGTTCAACTTGGATTTGAAATCATAAAACAACTGATAAGGAAGATTCTTTATAAGAATATAAGTTTGCTAACAAGCAGATGGAAGAAAAGGAACACAAATATCCCCAGAATCGAGTTTCTCCTTGATAAAGTGACAATCAATCTCCACATGTTTTGTATGATAGTATTGGACCAGATTATGAGCAATGATAATGATAATTTTATTGGCACAAAAAAATTGTGGAGGAATGGTTACTGACATACGTAACTCACGAAGCATGATACACAATCAAAAGGCTTCACACATACCCAAAGACAGCGCAAAACTCGACTTCAACACTATTACGAGCAACAACAGACTATATTTTATTTTTCCATGCGATAAGGTTCTCCTGCATGAAGGAGCGATAAGCAGAGGTAGGTAGATTGTCGATCATGGACGAACCCTACTCAATCAGCATCCGTATAAACTGCAACCAGGCGAGAGTTGTGAGGAGTGAACAAAAAAACCCAAGCCCAATATGTCTTTTAGGTAGTGGAGGATCCAATGGACAACAATGAAATAATGCTCATAAGGGTCATGCATAAACTGAATTACGACACTGATGACATGACAAATGTCCAGGCACGTATAAGCAAGGTAAAAAAGTTTACCCATGAGGCATTGGTAGCATGTTTCGCTCATCGGAATGACATTGAGAACTTTAAATAATTTCTCATTAGGGCCCACTAGTACAACTACCAGTTTGCAAAGAGGTAGCATAGTCTTGGACAATAAATTCATCAAATATTTGTACTAGGAAATGCAAATGCCTCGAGAGGATTGAGCTTCTTCTATATGTAAGAAATGTCGGAGAGAGAACAAGTTCTTTATCTCAAAAGTCATTGCAAAGATGGCCTTGAGAGACAGTAAGACCACCAATAAAACCCATGTTAGTACCGGCATCCCCTTTTTTGAAAATATTCCCTTCTTTCTTGACACAATCTTAAGTGACTATTCATTTTTAGACTATGGTGGACATTTCTCCTACTTCATTGTCCACTATTCTCGGTACACCTTCGGCACCACTAGATTTGACACCAACCGAGCCCCATGCTCACCTCTCCTTGTTTACACTCGCCATAAAAAACCTCTATTTGAGCCTCATTCCAATGCCCCTATCGATGAGCCTGTTGCTTCATTGCAGTTCTTGGAGTCTGCGCCAACCGACGACCCCGGTATGATGCTCTCTCCGCTTACAAGTCACTCTTGATTAAGGCTGTGAATTTAGCTCAAAGATCATTCATCGCTCGAAAATAGATTTGAATTTTGGCTTGGATCTAGATCATATTGAAATAAACGAGCCGAGATATGAGCCATCTCGTTGAGTTGGGGACACACACACACACACACACACACACATACACACCCACACACATATATAAAAATAAAGAGAGCTTTTACATACATACCACCCAATTCTTACATATTTAAATATCTAAAACCTAACTTTTAATTTTTACATTCATATCATTTAATTTCTCAAATAACCTAAACGTTGTGTAAAGGTATTGAGCCATTTACATACATACCACCCAATTCCTATATATTTGCATATCCCCACAACTAAAAAACATTTACACATTTACCATAAAACCATGCAAAACATTTTTTAAGTCAACTCTGCTGTCTACGAGACATCGACACGTCAAAGTCAGGAGATTGAAGTTGTCGAAGATAAGACTTCATTAGTTGCAAGATAGGCTTGAAGAAGTCACTTACACCGTACCTATCTAGCTAAGAGCCATATTTGGCATATCTTCACTTTAGATTGCCTTTATTAGGCTATATAATGTCATTTGTTTATTCTACTTAAAAGTAATCTTATTTATATAAAAGCAATGTCTCTTCCCCACCTATAAATAAGGGGTGTTGTCTATAGATTAATTTGAATTCATCATCCTATAAGACATTGTGAGCATCGATTGATGCCAAAAACTAAAGGCCAAGCATTAAATATGAGAGGAAAGAACTAGATAATATAATGAATTAGTAATTCATCATCAAGAGTAACTTATCCAAATAAAGTAAAGGATCATAAGGATGATCATAAGTATATTAGAGTGAGCTTTGAGGGGTTTCCCCTTGAATAGATTTCTAAGAATAATTCAAAGACTCCTCTCTCACCCAATGATTATTAAGTCTCCAAAACTATCGTTGGCTTCTAAAATCAATGGAACTTACAAGTCAAAAAATAGCAATGAAATGATTATACTGCAAGGGAAAGGATAGTTTGTGGGTATGTTGTCAAATGTGCCTTTGTCAATTCTTCTCAACCCTTCATGATGTAACAATCTCGACACAACTTTCTTATCGAGTTTCCTCTGCTATAAAAGTTGAGCATAATATGTTGATATGATAGTTGTCAAGGGAAAGGAGAGTTTGTGCATATGTTGCCAAATGTGTCTTTCCAAGAGCCGCCCTTTGGAGCCAACTCCAAGACACCTTAGGTCATTCTTATAACCCTCTGTCCATTTGGATGAGATAGCTATTTGTGATGACCTCTTAGTTCTCCATTTTAACTAATTCTTCCATGTCTAGTTATTCCCTATTTTGTGGCTATAAAGTTTGTGTTTTTCATTCTTAACATCAATTCACTTTCATCACACTTCAGAAAAAAAGTGAATACAAATATAACTCTAAAAGACACCATCAAGAACTTGCCGACGATAATAATAGAGAGAATAAATTAGAAGAGAAATTATAACGCCGACATAAGAATTTAAGAAGTATATCTATTATGACATTAATACATTACATAATTAATGAATTATATTTCATCTCACAATTATTTAAAAATAAATCTACTAATTAAAAGATTTTATAAGACAAGCCTAGCATTCAATATTATGGCCCCTCTACTTTCTATGGCTTTGTGAACAAGTAACTCGAGTATGAATGATTACCCAAGCACCAGACACATTGACACTGTCCGCATTTACTTCTCTATAATTATAAATTAATTAATTAAGATATTTGCATTAACATATTATTATTATTATTAACCACCCAATTCCTATGAATTTACATATCTATCACCTAAGCATTCATATATACATCCATATAACCCAAAATTTTAACATTATATTAAAAATAGCACCATCACTATATTTTTAAAAGTGAAATACACGATATTATAAATATAAATATTAAACGTTAGGTGCTAGACATGTAAATACATAAAATTTGTGTGGGTATGTATGTAAATTTCTCAAGAGGTAATATTAACTCACTTTCTTTATAGCACATTGTATTCTTTTATAGGAAAAAATTTTATATCTGGACTCCGGACATAGCTCTACGTGCTGAGTTCCAATAATATATCATGCTGAGTTCCAATAATATATCGTCATGTGTGTTGTATCTGGTTCAACTAAAAAAATATTAAAATGGAACAGCGGGCCCCGAAATAACCTAGGAATAACCTTTGTGTTGTTCTTTTGGATTATTGAAGTAGAATATATGAGTTTCTCTTCGATAACCCTTAAATAACCTCTACGATTTTATCTTGAAGTTTTTGAAATGAAATTGGAGAGATTATTTCGGAATTATTTTGAGATTATTGAAATGGTTATATGGCTAATTATCTGAAAGAGGTTATTGCTATTTACGTTATGCGTAATTTTTCTTTCCTGCGCAGGGCCCGCACGCATCCCGCGCCAACGCTCTACTGTACGGGAACGCCATCCGAGCGCTCTGCAACGCCAACACGTCGGAAGGGTTCCGGCCGCGAAAGGACGTGAGCATCCCGGAGATCAACCTCGTCACCGGCGACATGCCGCCGGAATTTATCTCACCGCCACCGCCGGAATCCTCTCCCCGATCCCTCCTCGCCTTCTTCGCCGGCGGGGTTCACGGCCCGGTCAGACCGGTCCTCCTCCGGTATTGGAAGGGCCGAGACCCGGATCTCGAAGTCCACGAGTATCTTCCTCCCGGCTCGGATGACTACTACTCGTACATGCGGAGAGCTCGCTTCTGTCTCTGCCCCAGCGGCTACGAGGTCAGCAGTTTTTTCCATTTTTGGAGATTTTTGCATATTTATCTTTCTAAAATTTAATATTTTTTATTGACTTGTATGGTATCTAGGGCTGTCAAAAAAGCTCGTTGTTCGCGAACAGTTCGTGTTCGGTTCGTCAATGAGTTCGTGTTCGATTCGTTCGATAAGTAAACGAGACAAACGCGAACA